ACCCTCTTCCCCCCCCCCCCACCCAGCACCACCACTGAAACCTAGGTTTTCATTATTAATTATATTTCTGTACTTTTTATTACAGTTGTAAAGTATTAACTTTTTCTTTTTAATTCATTATAGCCCAGAGTGCAATGTGGCTTAATACCCTTTGCGCTCTGGGCCCCATTTATCTTCATGTGCCTAGGGTCTCCCTTCAACATGACACCAGATTTCTTGTTGAGAATGAGTTATATTGATGCTATAAGCAGTATAAAAAGGCATTTAATCTAAATCATTGTAAACAAATGTTATCTTTATTCAGGGTTTCTTAAGTTGATTTGGTTTTGAGGGATTGCATTGCGCTCTGGGCTCCATTTATCTTCATGCCTAGGGTCTCCCTTCAACATGATGCCAGATTTCTTGTTGAGAATGAGTTACTGTATATTGATGCTGTAAGTGGTATAAAAAGGCATTATATCTAAATCATTGTAAATGTTATCTTTATTCAGGGTTTCTTAAGTAGATTTGGTTTTGAGGAATTGCATTATCAAACAAGTGCAAATGCAGAAAAAAAGTATGACAACACTGCCGACCAAGGCTTTCCATCGTACCAGCAAAACAAGATGGCGCTGGCAAGATCAATCCACACTATGTACACGGAATTCAGATCTAGAAGAACTTTTTGGATTTGGTTTAGAAAAAGCCTGCTTGGTTATACTACTGAGGAAGTTGCCATTCCTTCACACTTGCTAAAATCCAGAGCTAGATGAATACCATTGTTTTAAATGTACATCCACTCTGCAGCAAATACTAAAGTATGACTACACTAGTATTATACAGTTATTCTTTATATATATTTTTAACTCTAATTTTAACTAAGTTCACCATGAAAATTATTTTACAATGTAGTTCTGGTAGTTAAAGTTGGATTAACTATTTTAACAGACTGAGGTATAGGACCATAGTTTTATATAGTTATTAATAAAAATTCGACACAATATACTTTGTTAAAATAGTAGAGTAGATATTGTTTGAAAATGGGTATAACCCCAAAAAATTGCAACAAAAGTTTTTTCAACAAGGAAAACCTTTAGGCCAGTTGCACAACACAGTTGTGGATCCTTTTGCCATTTCTACTTTTTTTGAATTGGATGTTTTAATTTATTGATATTTAATATTTGTAATATTGGAATTTTGATTGATATTTATAATTTGTAATTTTTTCATTTTCTTTCATAGTAGCTGACTGATCTTTTTATGTTGCTTGATATACCAGCAGTTATAAATCTTAAGCTCTGATGCTACTTCACTATTAAGTAATACTGTACTAGTAGGTTTGCACTTTAATTCGAGGATCTGACAATGTGGTATGGTCTTCTGGTTCGGTCTCCAGTTAGGGGGTTAGCTGTGTATTAAAAGGTTAATGGTAAAAAGTGTTCTGAAATTAGCAGGGTCTGGAATTGGAGGGGGAACTTGATGTACAACTTTTACTTCAAATAGATTGCTCTATCTTATACTGGCATTGAACTAGTGCCAGTTCAGTTCAGTTCAACTTCATTTAACCATGGAGGCCCAGATCAACATAAGGTTGTTCTTCCCTGTGGCCGTGCACATAAATACAATACAAAATAAAAAAGTCAATATGTGGCTAACACAAGCCAAACCAGTCACTCGTCGCGAAAATTGATTTTTGGTTGTTAATATAGGGCTAAACAGCAAAATGAGAGCTATAAAATGGTAAAAGAATCATTTGAAAAGAATCATCAGAATCAATCAAAACATCAAGATATTCTCAACCAACAACAAAGTTCTTTTCAGAACTATCTATGACCAAACCATTACAAAATTCAATCTTATTTTCAAGTTTTACCATTTTATAGGGGGTTTCTTTTTGGTTGGATGTTAATTTATATTTAATGGGGCTCTGTTATGTAATGAATTTTAGTTGATTTTAATTTGTAATTTTTGCATATTTAAATTCTTTCTACATTTCAGTTTCGGCTGCAATAGATTATTTCTATCTTTAATTGTATTTTTTATATTTCAAAAATAAAGATACCATATTATATATATTATATTTTAGACGGAATTTATATTTTAAAGTGTTGATTTTTTAACAGTAATTGTTTTATTAACATGCAAGGCCGTAGGAAGCGGTCCAACTGGTCCAGTTGTAGAAACATGTGTTGCAGCATGTAAGGGGTTGGACAATTACAAAGTCGGGGGTTTGAAACCAACGATCACACTGCTTGTGTCCTTGGGCAAGAAATTTTTCTCTCTCCACCCAGTATGAAAGGGTACCTGTTAGAAGATGAATGATTTTGAATGAAATTAGTAGTGCTGATTACATGCTTAACTGGGAATAGTCTGGGGGTGGATGCAGGATTTGGCAGCAGGCGGTGCGTGAGATTCAGCCCCACCATGGCTGGGGCTGAAGTGAGAACATTTTGACAATATGGACGTCTAGGTGCCCAGAAATTGCACTCACATAGCTTAAAAGTCTTACCGGTAATTCTTATATAAACGATTGGATTGGATTTAACCAAGGATAGCCCACAAAAGTCTAGAAGACTTATTTCCAGTGGTGTCCTTCTGGTGGTGATTGGACAGCACACTGGGAGACAATCCCCTACTCTTTTCCTAAGAGTGTACTGGGTTCTTTAACATGCACGTGGGCCAACGGCTTAAACGTCTCATCCGAAAGACGGTGCGCTATTGTAACTTGTATTTCAGCCCTCTAGCTGAAACACAAAGAAAGGCAGCGATAAGAATTTAAATAAAATTTAATCAAATCAACATTTATTTTTTCACAATATAACAATAAAAAATATATAATTTTTAACAAATATCTAAGATATTATATGTATATACACTATTTTAGTAAATATAATTTAAATTGAAAGAGGCATGTGCCCTATAACTAATTAGAAACAAATTCCAATTAAAACTTGTGATGGGCTAGCCAGATAATATACTATAGTAAGTAATAAGTAAATATATAATTAAGAACTAAAAAGACATATAAACATAGAGGAAGCACAATTAATTGATGTAAAAAATAAATCAAAAAAAAAAAAAGAAGAAACACAACTAAGTATACATTAATTATAATTTGAATGAAGGTATTTTTTTAATTTGTATGAGAAAAGTTTACTTGTGGAGGACAGTGTTATATTGTTAGGAAGATTGTTAAATAATTTAGTACCGCTGTAACAGATATTGTGTTGCATTTGAGTGAGTTTTGGTTGAGGTAAATGAAGTTCATGTGAAGCCCTAGTAATGTATTTCAGAGTTAGGTTTAAAATTACAGGAACAATTTGAGGGAAGGTTAGAATGTATATAATCATAAACAAAAATACATAGCTGGAGTTTGTTGATGTCATGAATAGTTAAAAGATTGAGATCAGAAAATAAACAATGTGTATGGCTAAACGTGGTGCACCAGAAATAAGGCGGATAGCTTTCTTTTGAAGAAGATAAATTTTATCAAGTTTAGAAGGGTAGTTATTGGCCCACACAATAGCTAATAAACGGAAGAATAAGAGAACAATAAATATTACGGAGAATATGTAAGGGTAAATATAAAGACAGACGATAAAAAATACCTATGTTTTTTGAAATTTTAGTTTCTATTTCCTTTATATGAATTTTGAAGTTCAATTCCTGATCAATTTCAACTCCAAGAAATCTAGTATTTTTCACAAGGGGGATTATTTGGTCACCGATCATTATATTACGGGTTTCATTAAGTCTTTTTTGGTGGCGAAAACCAAACAGCATGAAATTGCATTTGTTAATGTTAATAGAAAGTTTATTTACTATAAAATAATCATTTATATTTGTTAGTTCCTGATTAAAAGTACGAAAAATAGATTTAAAATTAGTATTAGAATAAAAAAGAGTAGTATCATCAGCATAGAGATAAAAGGTTAGAATTTTTGAGGCAGTGGGTAAATCATTAATATAAAGTAAAAATAAAAGAGGACCAAGAAGAGAACCTTGAGGCACACCACAGGTAATAGGTTTCAAATCAGAAATATGAGTATTATTAGTAGTATTAGTATTATTGTGCATTGAGGTCTATTAGAAAGGTAGTCTTTGAAAAGATCCAAAAAAACACCACGAATACCATAATTAAAAAGTTTAGAAATTAAAATTGAATGATCAATTGTATCAAAGGCTTTTGAAAGGTCAATAAAAAGACCTGCTGAAAAAGATTTATTTTCAATTGCATCCATGATTTTGTTTGTGATGTCAATTAAAGGATAAGAAGTGGAATAATCTTTTCTAAAACCAAATTGGTTGGTAGTGTATATAGAATGTTATTTTTTAAATAAAATCGTAAGTTCGGTCATATATAATTTTCTAAAGGATCTTCGAAAAGATCGGAAGAACGGAAATTGGACGATAATTATTTGGATCTGATTTGATGCCCTTTTTAAAAATAGGTGTGACTTTTGCTAATTTCATGCTGTTTGAGAAAACACCAGTGGAAAGGGATAAGTTAAATATACGAGTTAAGGGATAAAGAACAAGATCAATAGATTTTTTTACAACTTGTCCACAGACGTCATCAATGCCTGGAGCCTTGTTAGTTTTGAAAGAGTTTACAATTGAGTACACTTCTTCAGAAACTGGAGAAAGAAAGATTGAGTTTGGAATAGGGGAATGAAGGTAATCGCAGAAGGTTCTAGGAGTGTTATTAATGATTTTCTTAGCAAGTTCAGGACCTATATTAGTAAAGTGATTGTTTAATAAATTTGAGACTTTCAAGGGGTCTTGTATTAATTCACCTTTATCCAAAATCTCAATATTAGGTAAGGTGTTATTTAATGGTTTAAGTAAAGAATTTATGACACGCCAAGTAGCCTTGATATTAGATTTAAGCTTATTAAATGTGTATTTATAATAATTAGATTTAGCAATTTTTAGGAGATGGTTTAATATATTGCGATAACGCTTATATTTACATACATTGCTATTTGTGGGATGATGGATGCTTTTTAGGTAAAGTTTACGTTTATGTGAAATTGAGATTAATAGTCCATCAGACATCCATGGTTTAAGTTTTTTATTTGCTTTGCAGGGTTCGGTTAAAGGAAAATTATTATTATATAGGGTTACGTACTTTTTCATAAAAGTATCGTATGCTATATTAGGGTGCGAGGCATTGATGACATCATACCACGAACAGTTCGATAAATCGCTCCGAAAGTTTAAAATATTATTTGCATTAATTTTACGAAATTTGCAGTTAGTATTATTATTAATATTTGTTTTAGGCCTACTGGACTTGTTTATAAAACTAATGTTAAAAACAGGAAGATGATCAGTGGCATCATTAATGATAATACCACTGTTAGAGGGTTCAAGGTCATTAGTAAAAATATTATCAATAAGAGTAGCGGAATGTGGAGTTATCCTTGTCGGTTTATGAATGGGGGTAAGAAGAGAATTGTTGAATAAACAATGGATAAAATCATTAACGTTGTTATCAGATTCATATTTTAAAATATCTATGTTGAAATCACCAAGAAGGAAATCCTTTTTCTTCTCTTTTAATATCTTTTTAAGCAGAAGCTCAAATTGTTCAGTAAAATAAGGAATAGTGATATCATGAGGTCTATACATAGTACCTACAATTTTGTTTTCGTTGAGTGTATGAATTTCGATAAATAATGATTCACAAAAATAATTAATGGGAGTTAGGTCGTTTCTAAGAGAATATTGAGTATTGTTTTTAATATACAGTACATGTTAATTCCACCACATTTATAAGAACGAGGCTTAAAAACTGTGGAATAATTTGGAATATAAATAAGTGGGCTGGTAAAGTCCATCCAAGTTTCTGTTACTGAAATGATATCAAAATTAAAGTTGAGTGATTTAATACAATTTGAAATCGATTCGAAGTTCTTAAGCAGACTTCTGCCATTAAAGTGAATACAAGAAAAATTATTTTCACAGTCATTAATTTTAAATTTACTTTTGAACTCGATTAGTAAATAAAAATTTGATACGTTTTCATTGTTGAAAAAATTATTGTCAGGATCTATGTTGTCAAATTGTCTAGCAGATGCAGTTGGTTTAAAAACTAAGTTAGAAAGTCGATCGCAATTGAACCGGGACCTAGAGATCTCCATAGTTCAGCGCACACACAGTGGCTACCACCAGATTAGCCGTCTAATCTAAGCTGCTCTCAACAATAAAATACAATTACATTTTCTTAATACAATTTAGGGTGGTGCAGTCGCACTGTACACAACCTCTCTCCCCCCCCCACCCCCCGCATCTGCCCCAGATATTCTCCAGGGAGCAGCGGAGGAGGTTGCATGTTTATGTTTAATCGTGTATCCAATGACCTGGGAAAACAAATGCCTTGTGCTGTTTTCCTTGTGCACTATATAAATTCTATAGAATAAATAAGTAAATATAAATATTTCACCAATCAATATTTATTTATTTATTATATTTATACAGGATAATATATCAGGAGGGTGTAACAATCTGTTTTACACATTGTCCTGTTTTGTGATACAAAATAATCTGGTTTGTACATGCCAAAATGCCATTCTGAGTTTCTAAAAAATATAAGAAAGTACTCAAATTTGGTTTCATTCCTTGTCAGGGAATAGTTGGCATCCACATAGTGTTGGTATAATATTGAAATGAATGACTGCTTTTGTCAAGCTTCAAAGTATATAGGCTTTACTGCAAATGGTTTTTTTTTGTTAACAGTAAGCCACTAAATAGTACAATTATTTATATTTTTTTTTATTCTTGGAAATTTTATTTACAATAAATACTGTACTAATAACTACAACAAAACTACAATACCAGTCACAGGTACACTAAATCCAACACTGTTTTCGAATCTTTCACTCACAATTTAAAATAAACATTACACCAAAATGATCTTACTGTCATAATAAAAATTGTTGTTGTCGATGTGGGAATCTATGCATAAAAATGTTATGTTTAATTAAAATATGGTACTTCTTGACAGGTATAGTCTCAGTAAAAATCATTTAGATCGTTCAAAACAGGGATGGTCCTATTGGAGAAAAAACAATTTGTCAAGAAGAAAAACATTATATGTAATTTTTACAAATTAGTAGACCCTAAAATAGATTAATTAAGCATATGAAACCCTTAAATTATCATAGTTCTGAGTCTTCACCCCCTGAATCACTTTCAAGAGATTTTGAGCAATGCCTGACCATGTCCAATTACACTCTCGTTGGGCCCTCCTCCCCAACCGGTACTGTTATTTATGCAAAAGAATAAAGTAAAGACAGGGAAATATTTTTTTCTTTGAGGTAAATTAATAGCAATTCAAATATTGTTCAGTTATATTCACGACAGCTGGTCAGCTTGTTTGCAGGTCACTAGGGTTTTTTTTTAATTGTATCAATTGCTGACATGACTCCAATAAAATGGAACCAGAATTCTTGAAACTGTTTTCTGTGTTCATGTGTAGAAGCTTCACATCACGTAGAATGAGAATTAAAAGACTACTTTGAGTAATTATAACTGCTTTTCCTTACAAATTATCATTGAGTAGCTTAATAATATACTCTTCTACTACAGTATACCTTTATTTTACACTAAATACACTGGATTCTATGCTAATTGTCTTTCATATGACCATTGTGGTCACTGATTATATTAACAATTACCATTTTATCAAATGCTTTTTTTAAAACCTTTTTTTCATATAATTTGTTTTTATAAAAAGTGAGATTAAAACTGGACAGTCATGTCAAACAGTATATTTTAAAGAAGTATAGTAATTATTATGTTTACATAAAAGAGAATGAATTACTGGTATAAAAAATATTTTAAGAAAGTTTTAAAACTAAGTATGTACAATGCCCTATTATCAATATTTCAAACATATACAGTTACAATTATAAAAGTACAGTACTGATTTGAATTTTCCAAATACTTATCCATTTTCTAAGATTTTGTTTGCTTTTAGGACAGAAAATCAATCTATCATTTTTGTTTAAAATTAACCTGAGTTAAAAATTATGTACAAACCCACATTTTAAGTATTTAAGTAAAATAAATCATAAATGAGTCATAAAAAATACTTGTTCTGCCCAAATTGTTATGCTTGATGTATCAAGATTGCACCTCAATTATACGTTCAACATGTAATAGAGTAGCGTCATCTTTGAAGTAAATTTCCTCCATTTCTTCTAACGGTTGATCTGCATCTACCACCTAAAAAAAAAAAACAAAAAAAAAAAAACAATATCACTATATAATTAAATCTTAACTTTTTCTTTGGGTTAACCTCACAACAATACCAATTTAAAATTATGATTCCAGATTAATATGGAAATTTTTTTTTCTTTTTATAAAGATCACTGAAAATAGCATCCTAACTAAATTAAAGCTAGGCACACACTTTGTCCAACGTTTTTTATGACGATCTGCCGACAAACAGCAAACATTTAGAAATCAACATTTAGGACTTATTTTAGATTAGATCATATATAAAATTTTAATAGAGCAAGTTTGATGCCAAGTTTTCAAATTTTCAAATAACAACCTTGCATTAATATTACACTTCTATAGGTATACCCAAAAACCAAAACAAGTTGATATATTCAGTCTATCAAAAAAACAGCCTGTATTTCTGACTTATTCGAGATGTTAATATGCCAAAGTGGCATTAGAAAAAATTTTTTTTTTTAAATACATTTAAAAATTGGTTTTCAAACATGAATCTGCCCCTACTTTTCCCCTACTGTATTTTATTGGGCAGCAGAAGAGGACAAACAAGCAATTTGTTTTAGGCCTTATTTTTTTGTTTTGATCAGTGGTACAGTCGAGTCCGCCAAAGTCGACTCTGTTTAAGTTGAAAATTCGTGTTAGTCGAATTTTTGAAAAAGTCCCAATTTTTTCCCTATGTATTACTGTGTTAATTGTATGTTTAATTCAAATTTTTATAAGTCGAATTTCGGCTATATCGACGGAATTTTCCGGTCCGGATAGGCCAGTTTTAAAGTAATTTTAACAACACAAGTCGAAGTTCCAAATTTAGAAGCGTACGTAGGAAAAAACGAAGTTCAATCCTTGTTGTACGGCAATAAGTTAGCCATGTCAAAACTAACATCACAGACAGCGCACTGTGGAATGATGCCTCACACGATCATATATTGTAAGATTCAGTCTACTCTTACAATACAGACACCCCTCCGGACCAGCTCCAATGTTTGGTTTTTCGTCCAGTTCAGTTTGTAGAACTTGTATTGAACCCATTTCGAACAAGATTGTTGTTGGGCCTAGTAGGGTGTAATCCAAAACCTGTCAACCCTAAAACCAAATTTTCAGTTTTAAAAGTTTATGAAAGTATATTATATCACTTTAAACGAACAATTGTGTGGGCATTTGAAGCTGACATTTTTTTCCTGATAATATGCACATTTTTTGTGTATCATGTGACCAAACTTAAGAAAGTACTTTAGTAAAAGTGGCAGGAAGGAAATCCTACTATTTGCAGATATCTTCAGTCAGAATAATTTCTAAGATTTTAAATTAGGTTTGTTTTATAGTTAGCAATCAATAGTACAAAATGAAGTAAAAAAAATGTTTTAAACGCATTTCTTAATTATTAATATTGAAGCATTTTTATTGGTCAAATTCTGTCCCGCCACCAGTTGAAACCAATTTAACTTTTTTTAGACACTTTACTATGATCAGATTTTCATTACATTTTGCTATTATATGATTTTATATGTGCAATTTATGATTTAGCTTTAAAAAATAATTTTGTCAAATTAAAATTAATCAATCAGCTTTGTTGAGTTGTCTTTATTTCAGGTTGATTCCAAATGGTTTTTAAGGATTAAAAGCAAGAATATACACTTACTAAAACATTAGAATGCGTACACTTCACAATTAACCAAGAAAACGTCTACTGTTGTGTCATGTTAATCAACAAATAGTCTCCATGGCAATGCGAATACAGCTAAGCGTCTTGTTTTCACAGCGTCTGGTATGCTTGTTTTTAATGATGTCTATTTAACTAACGTCTGGTTTTTCCAGTGAATGTTACCGTTCTGAATTGGAAAAATCGTCCGAGATTCGGAATAGGGAGTTTTTTAAAGGAAGAATTAGGAATGATTTTGGGACTTCAAAAAATGTTCGGTTTTGTTCGAAATTGGATTTTGTGGGCATTGAGTACACATAGTATTGTTCTATGTTAATATTTTTTTCCCGAAAATGTCAAAATCTGTATAACTCAAACTTTTTATGTCAGTCCCATTAGATTCGACTTAGGCGGACTCGACTGTAGCTTGTTTTTGGAAAAGTATTATGATAAGAACTTACTACGACATTGGAATTAGGATTAGACTTCGAGCCTCCCATCAACCATTCCTCGTGCAAGTTATGGATCTGCTGTAAGTATTCCAATGGGATGCAGTTTTCCTCACTCCGGCAGCGCTTCTTTATCCTTTCATAGCATTTCTGTGGTGAAGTTCTAAGGTAGACTGAAAAATCAACACAAACGAAATTAAATTTAAATGGTACAGTAATTGTGTAATTGTTCAACTACCAGCCAGGAGAATAAAAAAAAAAAATTTAATTGTTTCAAAGTAATTTGTAATAAAATTAATTTTTATAAAGAAATATGTTCTTTTGAGATCTTATGTGATAAATTCTCAGCACATCATATTAAGAAATGGCGCGCAGATAACTTTCCTCTACACAAAATCAATTTACAAATATCACTGCTGCTAGAAAATAAGAGCTATAGTGATTAATGTTTTCTCTCAATATTCAGCCCAATAGCCCTGAGCCTGGTTTTCTTAAAATCACAACCTTCAGTTTCATGTTATTTTTTAGGCCTAGTAATAGCCACTAGTCGGTGTATAACCGATATCAACCGTTTACAGTAAATTGTTTCAATGATTGGCTATAATGTAACATGTTTTATAGAAACCAAGCTTATACCAGTTTTTTTCATAACTTTAACTTGTCATTTTTTTCCAAGTTATATTGGTGATAATGTGCATCAACTTACTAATTCTGTCGACATTGAGATTCATATTTTCAAAGATCCAGTCAAACCATTCATTGATAATGGCGTATTCAGCATCTGACATTTTATTGCTACAAAGAAAATAAACAATTTGCATTTATTATAACACACATCAATTAAAAAACAACTAAATGATGTCTGCCACTCCATTTTTTTATATGGAATCCCCAATAATTACAACACTTGAAAAAAACCATTATCAACTACTGCATAGCAGTTTAGCTCAGTTTACAGTCAAAAAATGTTACGCTGCAGTGTGATGCTGATGCAGCCTGCAAAATTTATTTTAGAATAGTGTCATTACAATTCTTTATATTACTGAAAATGTGTTCCCCACACTTTTCCATTCATCTCATTATCCATCAGATGTATGTCAATTTTTTTTTTTTAAACTTCACTGAACCAAGTGAACTAACCTTCTGTAAAGGTTCTCAACAAACACATGTCTAGCACTGAATAATGACCTCTCCATCAGTTTTAATGGTTGCTTTGATGGAAATGTGTGGTTCTGCAACATGGTTAATTGTAAATACGATTGGAAAGCAAAACTCCATCGATGTGGATCCTCATACATCAAACCCTGGGAAATGTCGAAAAAAATGAATGCAGTGAATCATCAAGGATACAAAAAATGGTTTTTTGTTTGACTAAATATTTAAGGTCAAAAGTTGACTGTAGAATACTCACCAATGTATTGTGGCCTCTAACATTTTGCCATTTGCAAACTGGTTCTGTTAGAACTTCAACACCTGGCACTTGGTCTTTAAAGAGTTTCAGCATGGTGGTTTTGCCACAGCCAATGTTTCCTTCTACACATACCTTTAAAAATGATTGTAAATTTAGTTGTACCCTCCTTGCTATAAAAAATCTTCATTGCAGATACGCTGCCAGCAAAGCTGCCTGCACCGCCGCGGAAATAGCCGCCAAAACCTCAGGGAATAAGGCCGAAGGGCCACTCGCCTCCGGAGTGTGTGGCGAAGCTGAATCTTGTAGTTACGTTGTTTTGCCTCGGAAAATCACTGGATTTAAGCTCTGTGCTTAAAGATACTGTAGGTGGTGCTATCTCCGAAACGACTCATTATTGAGACTTGAAAGTTTCACAGGTTTCAGACGTGTTTAGTATACTCCCAAATGATATTTTCTCAAAATCGACAAAAATGTCAGTTACGTTGTTTTGCCTTGGGACGGACGAGTAGGCCTATACCTGGTTTATTGCTCTAAAGGTTTTAAAATATGGAGTTAAATGAATTTTCCTTACTTTGAGACTGGTGTAGTGGTGATAAAATGATAAAAAAGGTGTCCCCTTAATAAGGGTGTCCCTTTAATAGGGGTTGGCCGTAGTGTTAAAATATATATTGCCCCTCGTTTCACAGAAAAGTATCCCCTTAATACTGTAGGTCTACTGTATTTTTCTTAAACAAATATTAAGACAACCTGTAATGGAATACACCCTTCCTGCATGGGAAATGAGTTTTTAAAATAAAAATCAAATTTATCAACTTGAACAGCTTAGTGTGGCTAATGTCCCTGAGCTTACATTAGCACTAGGAGGCTTGATCTGTGCAAACATTTTTTTGTTAAACTTAAAATCGTAATCATATCTTAAATTATTTTCTTCTTCCGGGACCATGTAACCATAATTATAGTCTCCGTTCTTCACAATTCCAAATCCCAAGGGCAAATAGAAAAATTTATTAGATTATCACTCCCACCCGAGCAACAATTTTGGAAATATTGATGTAGGAATATTTACTTTTTTTATTTATTTATTTTTTGTCGCATCATATATTTTAACTGCATAAAAACAAATTTGCAATAAAGAAATGCTCACAAAATATAATGGACTTGTCCCCAAATTCAGCAGACTTCAAACTCTTCCAAAAGATTAGATCAGACATTGGGATCGCCGTAAAGTTGAAAATGCAAAGCCCATTCTTTAAACTTGTTGTTTACTGTCGCTAAAAATAAACAGCTCACTAACTGCGGCTAAAAATAGACAACACCACGGTCCTACTGTACTGTACGACTAAAAATTTATTTATTTATTTAATTATTTATTTCCTTCACATCCAACAGCAAGTACACTTGTCACTTACACAGGATGAGAATGATGATTTGTATAAACTAAGTCTCCTAAGACTTAGGAAGTGGAGTTGATTTTAGTCGTGAGAAAAAGCCCTGCTGTGACAGGATTTGAACCCAGGACTCTGGGACCAGAAGGCAAGCATCTTAACCACTGAGCTATTCAACTCCACTCAAGCTATTCAACTCCACTCCAAAATAGGCAACACCGCAGTTCGTCCCTAAAGAGACCCGCCTAGTGGGCTGATCGGATCGTTAATTCACAGCAGGAAGATGTTCCACAGAGACTGTCGCTGCTAAAAAAGTGCTTGTTACATCATGTATTACATACAAGTGGGCAATCTTTCTTGTGATGGGTGTGTTTGGTTGGATTGGTTGTTGTTGGGCAAAAACTAACCTATGACATCAAGAAAGAAAATGTAGGCAAAGGCTGGCCTAGCTCGAGGTAAAGACCAAAGCCTAGGAGCATATGCCTGCTAATACTAACTATAATTTGTTCCCTAGCCTGCTGTTCAGTCTTCATCATTCACTTTCAAAACATCGGATGGAGGAGGGTGGGGCCTCATTAAATTCCAGGCCTACAGAGAATTAATGAAATAATTTATAAAATGAAACTTACTGTTGTTTTATCTGATAAAAGTGAACCACCCAGCATGTTGATATTTCAAACACAAAGCTGTGATTATGATAAACTTGGAATATCAGAGGAGAAAGGAAACGAGCCAGACCCGGCTGCCAGTTAATGATCGGTGGCTAGCTTTTCATCGGCTGTTCGTCGTTGTTTGACAAAACAAAAATACAAATTTCGCGCCTGCACACTGAGGTTGCCGCGACAAGCGGAATATTCTGCTCTATCTGCTATTTCTTTCAGGTGAGACCTCTTTGTGTTAAACATAGCGAGAGGAGGAAATAAACAAAATATGGTGGACAAACACACGACCTGTATCCGTCGTCTGTCGTCTGCTAAAATAATAAAGTTAAATAAAGGGCAATGATTTGATAGCTCGTTGGTGAAAATGGCACAGAATATGGTAAAACAGGGGGCTGAAGCTAGAGTGTATGAAGGCGAGTTTTTTAGTCGTGCTATTATTGTAAAAGAACGTTTTTCGAAGAAATATCGACATCCAATTCTAGATGAAAAGCTAACCAAGAAACGGACGACGCAAGAGGTGCGAGCCATCATGCGTTGCAAGAAGGCGGGTGAGTACAATTGGCTAGCCCTACGCTAGCCTAGACCGAGAATGTAGAAAGAAGGGTAGCGCTAGGACTGGGTAGATTTTTAGGAGACGTTAAGAATTTATATTGATTACAAAAACGATTATTCAATAAATATATTTATTATTATGATAATAAATTGAGGACTTCATTCATTGTTTTTGCATCAGAACATAAATATTTGGGTATCATCATAGATAGATGATAAACTGGAATAAGCACACACAAGGACGTCAACTCAACGTCTTCATTTTCTTAGGAAGCTAAAGAAGTAGGGCAGGAAACACTATCTCTCTTCTATCAGAGTGCAATAAAATCAGTTATCTGCTTCTGTTGTATTGCCTGGTTCAGCAGCCTTACAAAGAAAAATAGTAAACAAATTAAGAAAATAACCAGAGTGGCAGGAAAAATTATTGGTATGGAGCTTAATGGTTAATGGTTATTAATATAGAGCGCAAAATACAAAAAGTCTCTAAGCGCTATCAGGCAAGTGTAAAGATGGAACGGAAACCAAAACCACAAAATAAAAAGAAGTGAAATTTGAAAACCATGCCAGCACCCAAACCGAAGTATGGGGATACGCCCTGATCGCTGGCTAGGGTTCAATCTAATTGAACTACAGTCAGCACCTGTTGAGTCTCGGCCATCTCGGATTCGGGCGCCTCCTATCCTATTTATTTATTACACTTCATTACACTTCCTAGTTAAAGCTATAAAAGCTAGCTGGCATGGAAATAGAAAAAAAAAATAAACTAAAGGGACGAGAATAAGTGGATCTTAAGTCTTTCTTTGAAAATGGTGACAGAAGGTGACTCACAAATAAATAAAGGTAACAAGTTCCACAACTTGGGCCCAGCAACCATAAACGATCGCTCCCCACAAGACTTTAACCGAAAGGATGGACAATAAAGATTGGTTGAGTCAGTTGTTGACCGGAGGGAACGAGTGCAAGTTGCAGAACGAACCTTAATTAATTCGGAAATGTATTGTGGTGATAACTTGTGAATTGATTTGTAAACATATAAATGTACTTTGAATTCAATACGCTGTTTCACTGGCAACCAATGAAGACGACGAAGAGTAGAGGTGATGTGATGGAATTCAGGTGTCCCAGTGATAAGACGAGCAGCGATGTTCATCAATAGCTGCAGCTTTCTAATTGATGTTAATGGTATTCCGTAAAGGACTCCATTACAATAATCCAATCTTGATGTAACCATAGCATGTACAAGTTTTGACGTAGCATCTTCATTTAAAAAATGCCTAACTGCCTTGATGTTGCGGAGATGGAAGGATACTACTCTGCATGTGTTGGTAATATGTCTAATCATGGATAGTGTGGAGTCAAACGTTACACCGGAATGGTGATGGAATGATGTTGGTGTCTCCCACGCGGATGTTTTCAATGATGGGTACATTTAGACGGTGTTTAGGCTTTATATACAGCACTTCTGTCTTGTCTGTATTGCAGCAAAGCATATTGATAGACAGCCATCTATGAACATCATCAATACAACCATCCAAGTATAATAAGCAGTCTTTGTGATAAGTCTGCCCTTACAAAATTAGATAAAATAAATTACAGGATGAGTCTCACCCACTTTTTGGATACATAACTTTTAACAAATCAGGAAGAATCAGACAAACTACTGTTAAAACAAATCGGTTAAAGAATTCCTTCATACCTCAAACATGTCAGCTCTACAATAGTCAATTTTCCAGATAATCAGTATTATTTAGGTACCTTTGTTGTTTAAGCTCAATTCCACTGTCTTTCTCTTTAGTTAAGTTAGTTAACGTTTTTGGTGCTATTGTATTTGTGATATATTTAATTTATATTTTATGTGATGTGTTTGTGTTTTTTGTTTTTTATGTATAAGCACAGGAAAGCAAATCTCATGTATATTTTTTTATATGTGACAATAAAATCTATCTTGAATCTTGAATCTTAAAGTAAAAGAAGGGAAAACAGGACTAGCCTACAGAGGGCCCATCACACTGGTGGTCACAATTTTAAGATCATTCTTCCTAGGCATAACACAATTTTTCGTGATTCATTCTTTGACACTAGAGTTATAGATATTAGTGGAACAAAAATAAGATAAGCTTTGAAGCCATAACGGAGGGTCGTATGACATTAATTTTTTTCTGGAAAATGTTCTCAAACGACTATTCATTGTAATGCATAGGCCTATTTTAATGCACTACTTAGATAGGCTTTTCTTATTCCATCTTGATTTCGAGGTCAAAATCATTTTTCAATTTTTTTTTTCAATCATATAGAAACTGTGTAGAATAGTCTATCGAGAACATTTTCCAGAAAAATTTAATATGATACAACCCTCCATCATGGAGTTATGAATTTTTAGATAAAATGAGGACAAGAATTCAGCTTCAAAGCTTATCTTATTTTTGTTGGTTACGCACCACTGACTTGGGTTGTTTGACATCACTTCAAGATGTTTACCGATTCGTGGAAAAGGAATGTTGCTTTTATGTAATCTGGCTTACACATTTTGTACATAAAAGACTATTAATATGCTACTAATACCAAACTATTTTTCAGTCAGTAGCAACAGCCATCCCAGCTTTGGCACCCTCTATTTTAAGTTCCTCAATTTATCACTAGGTACATTACTTTTTTAACACAAAAACAAAAATTAATTGGAGTTGGACAATCATATTTCTAATTGTATAATATTATATTATTACCCCACAGGTATAGCTACTCCTGCTGTTTATTTTGTAAATTATGAGACCAACCAGATCTTCATGGAGAATATTAAGGATTCATTAACAGTGAAAGATTACATTCAGAGACTACAGACAGAGGAAGATGGTGAGGAACACCTAAAAAGGCTTTCAGACAAAATTGGCAACATCCTGGCAACTATGCATGATATTGATGTAATCCATGGCGACTTGACAACTTCTAACATACTCATAAAAAGGCCTTTTGAGGACTTGCATCTTGTACTTATCGATTTTGGACTCAGTCATGTATCCAAGCTGCTGGAAGATAAGGGTGTAGATCTATATGTTCTGGAGAGGGCACTTCTAAGTACACATCCAAATACAGAAATATTTTTTGAGCGTATACTTCAGAACTATAGCCAAAAATCAAAAAAGTCAAAAGAAGTTCTTGTTAAATTGGAGGAGGTCCGTATGAGAGGGAGAAAACGCCTAATGGTTGGATAAGATTGAACAGCAGGCATTCCTATTTCAAATCACTATTGTTCAAAATTCAAGGGGTTGTGAAATGAAAAACTACTAAAGAATGCTCACAGTCTATGAAAAATTGTTGCCTGATGTCATATCCTGTATTATGCACGTTTTCAGAATCAGAAAAATTGTGTAATTTGAAGAATTAAATGCTATACTATGTGTTAACAGAAAAATTGAAATGTAAGGAGTTTTTTAATAAACCAATTGTGAAATAATATTTTTGTATTTGCAAAACATTTCTGTCAAGAAACAATATACATGATACAGTATATAAGTCTTTTTAATCCTAGGAAACATACTTGTGCCTATTCATATTACAGAAGAAAGCCACCATCTGGGATTATTGCATGGCACAAGACAAATCTCTAAAATGCAAGGGTCACTAAAGAGTATAAACCAGAGGATCCACTAATTAGTCTTAAATAAAACAAAAAGACAGTAACTCCAAAAAGAGACAGACATTTTGAGATCGTTTTGATCTATCATCATCAAGAATACTGGTGAGAAAATCTCACCCACCCATGATATATGTTTACAATATTTACAGAAGTATAACAGAAAGCACATAAAAACCGACCAATCAGATTAAAATCAAAGTTATAACTAGCCAATTAAAAACGAGGTAATTAAAAAAAATGAGGTGTGTCTTATATTAAGTATATCACTTATTATGAATAAACAATGAATAAACAACAATTATTCAACAATAGTATAGAAGCCTGGGAATGCTGGCTGAATGAAAGTCTCATGACATGAAATAAAAATGAAAATCTTATTGTTTTAATGGGAGATTTTTTTACAATTTTTTTTTTTTTTGGAATTAGTAGACTGCTAGACGATCATAGAATCTGAACTTGGTTATTATGTGACTCGGTTATTTTTTTTCACGGTAAACCAAGGGCGGTGGCGAGACACCCTATTCACCCCTCTAGATTCGCCACTGCTTTAAGCAGGCATTTATCAACATGCAGAGGACTCCTGTGATATGTAGGTGTCATGAAATACGAAACAACTGAAAAGTGGCAGGGTAAAAAAATTCGTCCAAAAAAGTATGAACTATAGCTAATGGTTTTTACCAAAATTGGCCAATTTTTAACCCGGTCTTTATTCCCAGATTCGGCCACGGGCCTAATTGAGTATCATCCTTGTTATGTAAGCTTAAAATTAGGCTTTAGTGGCATTTATCAACCTGCGGAGGACTCTTGTGATCTGTAGCTGTCATGGAATACAAAACAACTGGAAAATGGCATAGTAAAAAATATCGTCCCAAGAAAAAAGTATGAGCTATAGCTTATGGTTTTTACCAAAATTGGCCAATTTTTAACCTGGTCGTTTTTTCACGGTAAACCAAGGGCGGTGGCTAGACACCCTATTCACCCCTCTAGAATCGCCACTGCTTTAAGTGGCATTTATCAACATGCAGAGGACTCTAGTGGTATGTAGGTGTCATGAAATACGAAACAACTGAAAAGTGGCAGGGAAAAAAGATTTGTCCAAAAAAAGTATGAACTATAGCTCATGGTTTTTACCAAAATTGGCCAATTTTTAACCCGGTCTTTATTCCCAGATTCGGCCACGGGCCTAATTGAGTATCATACTTGTAATATGTAAGCTTAAAATTAGGCTTTAGTGGCATTTATCAAACTGCAGAGGACTCTTGTGATCTGTAGCTGTCATGGAATACAAAACAACTTGAAAATGGCATGGTAAAAAAAATCTCCCCAAGAAAAAAATGAGCTATAGCTTATGGTTTTTACCAAAATTGGCCAATTTTTAACCTGGTCGTTTTTCCCTGATTCGGCCAAATGAGCCTAATTGAGTATCATCTGATTTATCGTTATTTAAGCTTAAAACAAGGCTTTAAGCAGTGGCGGATCTAGGATTTAGGAATGGGGGTGGATAATGGAAGGTGAGAAGGCCCAAGCGGGGTGGGGGAGGGCTGTCCCCTCCCATTTGAGTTCTTTTTTTTTTAATTAGTTAGAAATTAGTTTTAGAATTAGATGATCTTAGATGGCATTTGAAAAGAAGTAGCTTAGAATAGAAAGTGTATGTTTACCAGAGTACATGACATAGGTCATGTGATTCAAGGGGGCCTGGCTTGATTTATCAGAAAAAATTAAAATTCGACTCAAATTTTGAGTGCCATTTCCGGCCATCAAGAGGTTCCATAATCATGAATTTTGTTAAAATCAATTCCAACCATGGTGGGGCTGAGGTAGTACAGACCACTGATAGACCTTAAACCTCTGGAAGTCCCTCTGGCCCCCTCTATTTCAAATTCCTAGATCCACAACTTCAGAAGCAGACACACAAGACGAGTGAGACCATTATTTTCTTTTCATGGTAGTCACCCTATTCAA